CACTGCGGAGTTATATTTGGCAGATATATTCTCATGGTGCCCAGAGAGAGAAATATCTACCTCTACCTAGGATTGAACTCACAGCCTCCCGATTGTGAGGCCAGAGCTCCACCTTTGAGGTATATGCCTCGTAACATTTCCCATAGCTTAACCGGGTTGAGCCTCCGAAAAGCATGCCGTTTGCCAAATACCTAAATCTTGACCGCATCACCACAGGGATGGTTTCTTGGTTTTAGGTCCTGGATGCAACTCTCCCCGTGATGAATAAACCTCGTGGGGGCGAGAAGACGATCTACCGAGCCAAATTCAGCTCCATCACCGACACGGATATCTGCAACGCCATGAACCAATTGGGTGAACCCAACCACAATGAAGCTCTGTCGGTGGACGCACGACAAGAGTTAGATTTGAGGATCGGCTGTGCCTTTACGAGGTTCCTAACCTGATTTCTTATCTTGGCTTATTTTTTTTCCTGGGCCATTTGTGGAGAACTGGTTTGGCCATTCCATGCCCCTCTTTAATTGCACTACATAGAATAGAAGGTAGGATAACAGAGTTGGAAGGGACCTTGGAGGTCTTCTAGCCCAACCCCCTGCTTGAGCAGGAGACCCTATACCATTTCAGACAGGTGGCTGTCCAGTCTCTTCTTAAAAATTTCTAGTGTTGGAACATTCACAACTTCTGGAGGCAAGTCGTTTCACTGATTAATTGTTCTAACTGTCAGGAAATTTCTCCTTAGTTCTAGGTTGCTTCTCTCCTTGATTAGTTTCCACCCATTGCTTCTTGTCCTGCCCTCAGGTGCTTTGGAAAATAAGTTGACCTTCTATTCCAGGGATGGCTAACCTTTTTGCCATCGCGTGCCAAAAGTGGGGGGAACACAAGGGGGGGGCGTGCGTGGGCATGCCCACATCCATAATTCTATGTGTGTGACACACACACCCCACGTGCATGCACACGCGCACCCCCCCCACGTGCATGCATGCCTCACACACACATACACACACACTCCCTGCGCATACATGCCCGATCCCGGAGCTTTCAGAGAAGCCTCCTGAAGGCTCCGGATGACGAAAAATGGCCCTATGGGCAACCCAGATGTCAAAGTTCAGGAACGGACTTCCCGGTTACCTGTAGGGCCATTTTTCGCCCTCTGGAGCCTTGAAAAACAGCCGAAAATGAAGGCCGAAGTAATCTGGCCAGCGCACACATGCGTGCTGGAGCCGACAAGTCAATTCCTCGCGTGCCCTAACAAATGGCTCCATGTGCCACCTGTGGCAAGCGTGTTAAAGGTTCACCATCAAAGTTCTATTCTTTGTGACAGCCGCTCAAATACTAGAATACTGCTAACTTGTCCCCCCATCTTCCCTCCCCAGTCCTTATTTTCTCTCTGAAAAAAATGACTTATGATGGTTTTCATGCTCACAACCATTTCAGCATTCCCATGTTTGTGCAATCAAAATTCAGAATCTTGTATGTATGATGGTTGCGGTGCCCCTTTTGAGACCAAGCAAAGCCAACGGGAAAATCACATTCATTTCACAATCCGGTTCCTAACTTAACAACGGCAGTGATTCACTTAACAAGTATGCCAAAAATGGTCGTAAAATTAGGGCAAAATTCACTCAACAACGGCCTCGCTTAACGACACACATTTTGGGCTCAATTGTGGTTGTATGTTGAAGACTACCTACAACAGGGGTGTCAAACTCTATTTCGTTGAGGGTTTGTGTTTGACCTTGGGGGGCAGGGTGGGAGTGGCCAGGGTGGGAGTGGCCAGAGTGGGAGTGGCCAGGGTGGGTGTCGCCAGCTCAACGTCCCTCATGTCAGGGGCACCTGTGGTCGCCTGAGTGCTCTGCCCACGAAAACGGCCTCCTGATGTTTCCTTCATCTGATTGTAGCCAATGAGCATGAGCGTTTAAAGAGCCAATCAAGTGTCATCTTGATTTGGCAATGAACCAATCAGATCACAGTAGGATTCAGTTATCGATGTCATGCATTGAAATTGAGAGGAGGACATTTGTCAGTGTGTTATGTGATCGCTATCAAGTTGGTTGGGTTTTTTCCTGTTCTTTCATTTAGTGAGTGTGAAGTTCCCAAGAGATGACCTAATTAATTTACGAGCCTCGAGACAAAGTTTAAAAAAAAAACACAATTCATTTATTAGGATCAACATCTCGGCATGTTCTTCTGTGGAGCCGAAACTGATTTACACTTAATGGCATCTGAACTCTACCCCCGTGTCCCCTCCCCTCTGCCTTGGTCATAAATCACATTCACCAACAAGGTGCTACGGCAGGTTATGGACATGAGCATTCACATGCCAGCTGCAAGGAATATGAGACAGGACTCTGACCAAAAGTATGCATGGAATTCTCCTCCCTTCTCTATGCCACTTGATAGTAGTCATGGAAACACTTTACAGGAGCTTGTAAAACGTAAAAAAAAAAAAAAAAGTACTGGTGCAGAGTGTTGACAGTTTGCCCAAAAAGCAATGTAAAATAGTATTGTTAACCGAACAAGGCTACAGTTATGAAGAAATTAGAAGAATAATGGGTGGAAACTTCACCAAAGGTAGCATTTCTAAGTTTTTGAAGAGGTATAAGGAGACTCAGTCACTACAAAACCACACTGGTAAAGAAAAGGTGCACAACAGCAAGTGATGATAGAAGAATTAAGAGACCGTGCCTAGGTGACAGAAGAAAACCATCTGGGTGTATACAAGGTGAAATGGCGCAATGCAATGTGAAGTTGAGTGTAGGGACTGTTTGGCGCAGACTACAGGAATTTGGCCTAAAATCTAGAATTCCATGAAAAAAAGACACTTTTATCTCTCAAACAAAGGTTGAAAAGATTAAACTGGGCTAAAACCAGGGGTGAAATCCAGCAGGTTCTGGGGAACAGGTAGCGGAAATTTTGAGTAGTTCAGAGAACCGGTAGTGGAAATTTTGAGTAGCTCAGAGAACCGGTAGTGGAAATTTTGAGTGGTTCAGNGGCTCCTCTCCAGACTATAAAAAGACTCCTTGTGCACACAGCCCTCTTTGCAGAAGTCAACACAGGATTGAATGTTGGAGGACATTACTGTGAGCTTGGCAGGCTGGATTGCTGCCAAGCCTTATTTGTGTTTATTGCTGCCAAGGCATATCTGTGCCAGTTTGCTGCCAAGGACCTGTCTGTCTGTTAATTAAATGCTGGAACTCATCTTTGTTTCGGAGTGTCCTTTGGTGTGGAACAAGGGGGGGGAGTCAGAACACATATGCTATAGACTAATTCCTGATTCCAGCAGAAGGACAACTCTGAGAGAAGACTACCATGCTGACAACTACAATTACAAAACCTTTTCACAAAGCAGGAGAAAATTTACCCAGAGACCACGTGGGATCCTACAATTCCAACATTGTTCAATGTGTGGAAGAGAAGAAAACAGGGGTGATTCTTGCCTAAGTGCCTATGGAGATTGTCAGTCATCAAGGTCATGGTTTTCCTCTTCCCCACCAGGCAGTCAGAGTTGAAGAAGCTTCTTGGATGAGAAGCAAAACGTCTCCAAGGAAAAACCAGAACATCCAGTTGCCTCTTGAAAAAGCACCTTTGGGACGGCCATGACCTGGAGGACTGACAATCTCCATAGACAATTTAATTATTTGGGCATTGTCCCAAAGGTGCTATTTGAAATGGAAAGTGGACTTCCTTTATTTTCACTTGAAGGCATTCTGCTTCTCAACCCAGAAGCTTCTTAAGTTCTGACTGGAGAGAGCAAAACAGCTTCAAGCAAAAGCAAAGAATAATAGAATAACAGAAGGGACCTTGGAGGTCTGTTAATCAAATCCGCTGCTCAGGCAGGAAACTCTCTACCATTTCAGACAAGTTGTTGTCCAGTCTCTTTTTAAAAAACTTCCAGGGCTGGAGCATTCACAGTTTCTGGAGGCACGTTGTTCCAAATGATTAAAGCACCTTTGCAACATTCATGACCTGGAAGATTGACAATCTCCATAGACAGTCACAATACTTAATTTGTCCTGACCTTGGCTTCCCAAGAGCAGGAAGCAAACTCCTTGTCCTGACAAAAAACCCTTTTATTAATTGGCTGTAAATTCTGCTCATTCACATCCAGCAAAGTCTTTCAAGGGAGGATTTCCAGTCACAGACCTTATCTGGCTTGGAGAGTTGCCAGGCCGATTATCTGCAAAACTTGGCAAGGAGTCTCGGAGAGTCATGAACCAATTAAGCAAACTAATTGTCTCCTGCAAACTCCACTCCCCTTTCACTCCCCTTTTATTTCCTCTGGGAGGGGGCATTCATTGTCTACCTGTGGCCTTCCTCCCAAGTCGACCCCTGTTCTTTAGCTGTTCCCTTCGTCTGGCAACTATGTGCATGCGCACACTGGGAACAGGCTCCAGCTGTTCGTCTGCCTCATTGATGTCTGACTGAAGGCAGCTGATAACTGGCATATGGCCCTGGTCCCCTCTCTGCCTCAGACACAGAGCCCTCATCCGAGCCTTCCCCAGACCCCAGGACTCACCCATGTTCCTCCCCAACCTCCTCACTGTCCAAATCTGCTGCCAGCTTCACTGGCCACTGGCGGGCCACAGCATAATAACTCTCCACCACTATTTCTTTTGAAGGCAATGAAATGCGTGTGAATTCTGAACTATTCTTTTAGCACAATGTTTGCCAAGGCTTATCATAATACAGAGACCAGTGAACCCAAAAAATGTCACACACATGCCGTAGGCATCAATAAAAGCCCGGGTTATAAGTTGCCATTAAGCGATGTCATATTCTTGTGATGCAGCCTAATCAAGTGTCAAAAAAGGAGAACCAGAACATGATTATATGTCAAGGATTCAGAAATGATGCACGGAGAGCATTGAAGTCAAGCGGGAAGGGGGGAAAAACACCCTCCATTGACGGTGGAGAAGAAAATCACCCTTGCAATCAAAACGAAACGATCCTAATACAAAAAGTGGAACAATAATACTTTAATGAAATAGTAATCTGGAAGGGCAGCTTATTTTTTATTTTAATCTTTCAGGGGTGGTAGTGACTTGATAAACAGGTTGTTAAAGAAAATAATGGGACTTTGATTTACTGGAAATCAGGAATCTTTTCATTTGAACGATTAGCAAGAAGGGAGATGCTGCGTATCTTCTTTGGTTCGGTACCAAGAATGTAGACCCTGAATAATAAGAAATAATGATTCCCTTCTTTTAAATAGTTTGGCTCCAGCAATCAGAAGGGTGAACCAATTGGGTTATGATTGCAATCAGGTATAATATTAGGATGAGAATTATTCGGAACGGTGGTGGAATCTGTGTACATTTCTTTGATTGTGAATTCCAGGAGAGATATAAAGAAAGAGCGCGAGAGAGAGAGCAGTGGGGTGGGAAACGGGGAAGAGAAGGAAAACTTTTCTGGGCCCCGCAAAACTGTTCTAAAAGTTATACTGACATCCTGCAAAAATAGAAGTGGTGGTCACTCTTCAGCTGGTTTCAGAGAATTAAACGGGATTTGTGTGTTTGAGTGATTTGACTCCTGGCTCACCTCACAAATTATTATA